TGTTGTAGAACTAACATTTCTGACATTTACACCTCCCATAAATGTAAAATAAAATGTAAGTGTGACTTTTACTCTCAAATTTGTATCTCTGCATTATAGAAGCTCTTATCAACTACCTTACAAAACTATGTTCAACGTCTTTTTAAAGTTAAGAAAAAAAATAGCACTAATTATACAAGTCTTAATCAAAATCACTCATCGAATCACGTTCAATCTTTCTCTTCTCGAAAAGTGGAGGCAAATCTTAGTCTGTAAGGATTCAAACACTTGAGCTAAAGGCCAACGCAGAGTCAGTGTGTTGTCACTCGTTACTGCCCTCCCCATACGCAGGGAAACCACAAACCCTTTTAGATCACTTCGACATGGAAGCAACAACAATAATGCACCTGAACTTGACTTCCAAATGCTCCAATATTATTCCACTGCAGATTCAAACTGATTAGTTAGTCTCAGTTCATTGGACTATTAGCATGCCCCATTTCCTCAGTCAGAGAATGCTGCTTAGTTGGTCTCACCAAACCCTAAGATATGGAATACAAATTATACCAACTATATATGTATGTATTTAAAGGTGTGACTTTAATGTCATGTATTTTTTTGAACTATTAAATTTGATTTCCACACGATTTTGATCCACAATGGTTTTGATCTTTTATTTTTAATCTCTGTCAATCATTTTTAGGTATTACTTAGTGCTAAGTATCTATGCTAGCTACTGTGAATGCAAATTTCCGCTGTCTTATCCTTTGACGAAAATGCACATGCAAAATAATAACACCTAAGATTAAGGCCAAAAGCCTTACGCGCCCACGATGAATGGGGAGTGCTTTGGCCAAAAAATCTTCAATGCTAAAGTTAGAATTCGAGAGAGAAAGTGTTTAGGAATTTTTGGGGAGAGAATGGCCTAGCATTTTAGTGGGAAAACATAGGCTATTTATAAGGGAGTGATCGGCCCTGTTTGGAGAATAAGGGCTGGCCACATATGGTCAAATTGTGAGTGTAATTGCAAGATATTATGTGAAATAATATCTTGCAAACAATTAATCTCAAATTGAATAGGAAAATTGGGAGTTACTTTTTGAGTGAGGATTTGATGAGGAGTGATGAGAGGGTTTTGAATATATACCATTTTGATCACCTTTTACTCTTCCTTGATTGAGCCGTTATTGTCCGTTGCATGCGCGTGGGAATCCCGGTGTGCCTTGAGGGTAATTTTGTCCTTTTTACCCAAAAGTACATGTGTCGTCTCCATAATTTACTTGATTATTTTTTGCTACACAAATGCCCCTACACCTGCTGGGTTGCTCACAGGAAAGGGCAACATGTGTAGAGATCTCCAACTTTGATGTAGATTCCCACTTGGACTTGGAATTAGATTCTTCTAGGAAAGGGAAATAAATTGCCTCCAAAGCCTATTTAAGCCTACCTTAAGTAGGGGATTAAATCAACTTCAGAGATTAATTATTTATCCCTACAAGAAAGAGAGAAAGCTAGAGGATATTTGTTCTCCCTCCCCTAGCACTCTTCTTTGCTTACCCGTGCAAAGAACCGTCTTCAGTTGATTTATTTATCCTTTCTATGCCGCACCAATGTAAGAAAAACTTAATTTTCTTTGTCTTTTCTTGGGTGGTGCTGCCAAATGGCAATCATCGTGGCAGTGTGGCAAATGGGTGTCGAGGAATTAGTTTATCCTTGCGTACTGGAGAGCAATTAGTTTATCCTCTCGCATTGGAAAGCAAACCCAGATGGGTGTCGGGGAACTAGTTTACCCTCTCGCACTGGAAATTAATTAGTTTATCCTCTCGCACTGGAGAGCAGACCCAGATGGGTGTCGGGGAATTAGTTTACCCTTTCACATTGGAGAACAATTAGTTATTCTCTCGAGAGCAAACCCATATGGGTGTCGGGGAACTAGTTTACTCTCTCGCATTGGAAATCAATTAGTTTATCATCTCGCACTGAAGAGCAAACCCAGATGGGTGTCGGGGAATTAGTTTACCCTCTCGCACTGGAGAGCAATTAATTTATTCTCTCGCATTAGAGAGCAGACCCAGATGGGTGTCCAGGAATTAGTTTACCTTCTTGCACTGGAGAGTAATTAGTTTATCCTCTCGCACTGGAGAGCAGACCCAGATAGGGGTTTGTGCAGTTGTTGTTAGTGGCGGAGCTAGGAATTCAAATTAGGAGGGGCCTTTAAATCATATAAACAACATGAGACAAAAAAATATAGCCATATAACTAATGAGAGAAAATTAAAGGTTCATTTTTTGCATTGGCATGAAAAATTTTAATCAAACAAGGCTGGTAGATCTTTAACATGTATGAAAAATTTAGTATTAAAATAATTATATCATAAAAACAAAACTTATTACGAGATTAACAATAAAGTTAACATTAATTTCAAACAAAAAATTAAAATCATGGCTCAATACTATTATTATGAGATTTTCCTTCAACATAAATTAACCTTGTTCTGTGTCAACTCACCAAAAAACAATTGCTGATAAAGGAGGTTCAATAGCAAATTTCGAACCCCTGACAGCAGGAACACAAAACCCCCTTCAACCACCGAGCCGCAAATTCTTTAGTTACAAAACCAACAGATAGGGTATATAAACTAATATCTCAGGATAGGCCTGTGCCCATCTTGGTCTCCATGTGGCTCCGCCACTGGTTGTTGTAGACAGCAGTTAAGCCAGGCTTATGAACAACTTCTTGAATCTTCATTGAGAATAAAGAAATGGATCAACTGTGCTGGAAAGTATAAACTGCATAACAAATTGGATAATCCTCGGCTTGCGAGGTCTTGTTCGTCGAGCTGCTTGAGACTTCAAACTTATTTGGAAAAGCCTGAATGGGGTTCAGGGGGTGATGAAGATTTTCCCCAGCATTCCATCATGTTGCTACTTGATGAAAGTCAAATGCTTCATTCTTTCAGAGTTGGTCGTATCTTGAAAATGCTCAGACCTGGCAAATATGCTATTAATTCTCATTGTCTTTGAGGAGGGTTCAGTGTTGGCTTTCGCTTATTTTGTAGACCGTGTCATTGACCTGTCAAGATACTCGTCGCATCGACCCTCATTTGTCAGCTTCTCAAGGTACTGCTTCCACTTTAGGCAGTCGTTGGTAGTGTGGCATGGTCCTTGATGGAATGTGCAATACTTTGTCTGATCTAGCCTGGTAAGATCGCCCTTCATAGGTGGTGGCAGTTCGAACCAAGGTTCATTCTTGAGCTTACGGAGAATCTGGTCGATTGAAACTGTGAACTTGGTGAATGTTTTGGGCACTGAGTATTCTCTGGTCGGGGAACGTTCCATGCGTTTCTTTTCCAACTCGTTTTTGCTAGACTGTAACGCCCCGGCTCGAAAATTTTATTTCGAAAAATAATTTCAGTGGTAGGCCAAAAATAAACTATTGTTTAGTTAACTACCATTAAACACAATTCTTTATGTACATTTATTAATCACATACCAAATTTATAACCAAAGTTTACTTACCAAAAACATAAGATGAACCTTCATCTTATTCACCAATTTCTTTTCATCAATTCAAATTCCCAACAAAAATTTATTACTTCAAATTATTCAAGAAATTCTTAATTTCTCACAAACCTATATCTAAATTTATTTGACCAAACAGAGGTTAAATTTATACTAAACACCCAATCCTTTTTCTTCTTCCAAATTTTCGATAAAGGTTTATCTCAGTTATTTTTAAGGTTGCATCTAACTCCCATTAGAGTGCCTATGTACCATTGAACGGGATCAAGCCTTTCGTAATTCACAATTCAATCTTAATCCATTTCTGATTATATTCCAAATAAACGAAATATCCAACATTAGTTCTAATGATTGAATCACCTCTAATGGATACCAAATTCGTATTTAGAATATCCAAATTTGTACAAAATGGCAGCATCGGCTCACTGGCCACGCGCTGCCGTGGGTGGTGGTTTCGGACGAACGGAAACCCAAATTTCTGACTAACTCTAAAAATTACCAAATTTTACAGGAAAGTAGAGTTCAATGAGAGAAACAACTTTCATACCTGGTCCAAAGTCCAATTCGGCCGGGAAACACCTCAAATCACCCTCGAACTACTGAAAACCCTTGATTTTGGGTGTTCTTGATTCGACTCCAAAACCATTCCGACGCCCCAAATAATGTATGGGCTTTGTTCTAGACCTCAAGGGGAGTCCAAATGTGGTGGTAATTGAAGGGAATCATTTCAGAATTCACTAAAAAAAGGAGGAACCCGCTGGAACAACCTTGGGTTTATGGTTTCGATTCGTAAAATTTGATAAGAAATTTAACAATCTAACAACACAAGAATGTTGGGCTCGTCAAGAGCTTTCCATAGACACTGGAATTACTTCCAATGGACATCGGACGGGGAAGGTAAAACCGGGTCAGGTTGGGTCGGGTCGCCATGGCAAGAGGATCCAGTTCTCTCTCTTTCTTCTCCCTCATTTCCCCTCATTTCCTTCCCCCTTGATTTGTTTGTGCCCCCCCCTTTTTTCAATCTTTTCTTTTCCATCACAGCCATCCATTTCCTTCATTTCTTTTCTTTTCTTCTCATCTTAGCTACACACGTGGCAGAATCTCAGTACTCCAGAAAATCTGGAGCCTTCTAAAGGGGGTTAAATTTACAAAAATGTCCCCGACTTTAAATGCTAATAACTATTTTATTATAACTCCGTTTCACAAACGGTTTGTGCCTATGCGCTCATAGGGCCATGCTCTATCCAAATTTAACAAGAAATAATTTAATATGTATAATTATAAAATACACCCTCGTATAATTACGTTAAACCCACTAAGGCCATTTCCATCTTTTCCACTTATCAATAAATTTTACGACGTAAATTATAATAATTCCCGGTAACAAAATTTTAAAATTCCCCAATTAAATTTTCATAATCATAAATCGATTTATTTTCAATGTTCTCCATGTATTCATAATTATGAATATCTAATTCATATATTTAAATTTTCAGAGTATTACATAGACTGCTTGGCCTTGTCCCATAGTGTGTGCTTTTCCGCCAAAGCATAAGAAGCTGCTAGGATCAGTTTTTCTCCCATGATCAATCCTATGAATAAAGGGTGTTCGGTGGGAAGCCCATTTCTGAATGATGTCGTTACTATGTCTTCGTTGCAGCCAGCAATCTTGGCCTTTTCTGCTTTGAACTTCTTGACATAGTTGCAAATTGTCTCCCAATGGTCTTTTATGACGCTGAAGAGATGGTTGGATGTCCTTTTGATTAAGCAATTAAACGAATACTCCTTAGTGAAAATCAAGGAAAGTTCATTGAAATTCTGGATCGACCGCGATGATAGGGTGTGGTACCAGCCTTGCGCCTCGCCTAGTAAAGTTGTGGTAAAAATTTTGCACATAAATGCATCATTGTTCCTGTAGAGGATCATGGTACTATGGTAGTGCTTGAGATGTCGATCCGAATTTTCATCTCCCATGTACAGAGTGAAGTGAGACACAGTGAACCCGCGAGGTGAATCTGTCCACTGGGTCTCATCAGTGAATGGTGACATGCTTATGTTGGTCATGTCACGTCGAACTGCATCGTCAGTAGTCTCGTTGTGCTAGAAATTACGCAATCGTTCGGTCAGGAGCCTTTCAAAATTTTCTTGAATTTTCCTCTGCTAGGGCAATGGAACTTTTAGCTGCCCCCGATCGTCACCTGTTAGTCTAGGTCACTCTTCCCTATGCTCACCCCGTCTATGCCCCGTTGCGGTGCAGGTGGCACGTTCCTGGCAAGCGAGTGGGCTACTCGCAGACTACCGGTTGAACTTGAGCCGGATTGAGTGACTACTTCTCTCTGTCCGCTATGTTTCCTACTCAGATGTGAGGTGGAGAATGTTCAGGACACCTTGTTCGGAGCACGCTGCATCTCGGTATTCTACAAAAGCTGATTCACCAAGGTCGTTTGCTGCGCGAGGGCACTAGTTAACTCTATGACTTGTCAAGACAAGTGTTGTTCACCATGCAGGATGGAAAAGCTTGGATGGTAGGCTTCTCCATATGTGGTAGAAGTGTAGTGGACTCCAAGTGCAAAATTTAAGCCGGGATAGATCAAATCCGCATAAACTCGGGGTGAAAATGCCCTCGGTTTAATCGTCGGTCTAAAAATTTGAAGCTTGAACTGTTGAACTGATCTTGGACCAGTCGGGATCACCAAGTGGGCCACAGGAATGGGTTGGATTGCACTGCTAGGGTAGCGGCTTGGGTCGAGATGATTGTTAGCGCGTTTTGGGCCTATGATGCACCTTGGGCTTGGGCTGCTGGGGTAGCGGCTTAGGCCGGCTCGTGACGGGCCTTGCAGCATGGGCTGCTTAGGTCGCCTCTTGGGCTGTTAGCGCAACTGCTCCCTGCTTTCTATGGGCTTGCTGCCACGAAGCTGACCTACTCCCCACTGCCACGGTGGTTTCTGTGGTTGCCATGGTGGTGGTGCTCTGTGGTGGCAAAGTTGCTCTTTTTGCCATCGTGTTGAGCCTTGTGGATTGTCGTGGTGGGGCTATGTCTCGTCCTCCATCATTCGATCTGAATCTTTAAACGTAGGAAGTTCTGTTCGTTATGGTTTCTGAATTTCCAGTCATTGTATTTTTTTTCCTTACATCTATTCAAAGAATAAAAAAATTCTAGGAATAAGAAAGTACAAAAAATTTAAGAACGAACGAGAAATGAGAAACTTTGAATGCGAGAGTCTTCTTCGAGCGTGTGAATCGAACTCTCAATGAAAGCACCAATTTGTGGATGCAAATTTCCGCCGTCTTCTCTTTTGACGAAAATGCACTTGCAAAATAATAACACCTAAGATTAAGGCCAAAAGCCTCATGGGCCCATGAATAAGGTGGGCTTTGGCCGAAAAATCTCCAATGCCAAAGTTAGAATTCGAGAAAGAAAGTGTTTAGGAATTTTTTGGGAGAAAATGGTCTAGCATTTTAGTGGGAAAACATGACTATTTATAGGGGAGTGACCGCCCCTATTTGGAAAATAGGGGCCAACCACATATGGTCAAATTGTGAGTGTAATTGCAAGATATTATGTGAAATAATATCTTGCAATTAATCCCAAATTGAATAGGAAAATTGGGAGTTACCTTTTGAGTGAGGATTTGATGAAGAGTGATGAGAGGGTTTTGAATAAATATCATTTTGATCACCATTGACTCTTCCTTGATTGAATCGTTATTGTCCGTTGCATGTGCGTTGGAATCCCGGTGTGCCTTAAAGGTAATTTTATCATTTTTATCTAAAAGTACACGTGTCGCCTCCATAATTTTCTTGATTATTTTTTACTCCACAGCTACCACCAGACAAAGGAAGTGTATATATGAACTAGTGATCTGCAAATGGGATATGCATTATTGGAGTGTACTTATCCGAAGAAAAGTGATATAGCATTTTAAAAACCCCATCATCCATCTGTTCAATTATTAATCTAATATTTTGGTTGATTTAACATAATTCTTATTTCTTGGCATTCAGGACCCCATCTGCTTTACTCATCACTCGATCACAACCTTCTTTTGGATTCTTTTGTGGAAAAAAGAAAAAAATGCTGCCCAACACAATCGAACAACTGCAATTTGCAACATACATTGCTTTTATTTTTGTCAAAAAAGAGTGATGGGATTGACCAAAATAGTTATCAACGTAGCCACAGTGGATGCATGATTATTTTCATGCACATTTGTCGAATAATGGAACTAACCAATTAGGGTTTCTGTGCAATAATGTGGTATGTTGGCTGGTTAACAGCTGGGACTCATTTTTAGCTTTTCTACATTTCCTGTAACACTTATTCAGTTATTTTACGATTTTAGAGAAAGAAAAAAAAAACTTCGATATTCAATTTAGAATGTAAATTAATGGCTAAGGGGGTGTGCCAACATCACTCTGTCGCAATGAGAAAATATGATAAATGAATGAAGTTTGTCACCCCCCATGAATTAAGATTTTTGTTAAGGGTAAATCGTCAAAATGGTCTCTGAGATTTGCATAACTCATCATTTTGGTCCCTGAGATTCCAAATCGATAAAAGTGGTCCCTGAGATTGTCCACCATCCATCATTTTGGTCCTTTGTGTCCCGGAGCTCTTGGTCGGAAGTTTGGGCAATTTTCAAAGCTTCGTAACTCAATCGTTTCTTAACCAAATTCGACCCATAATATATCAAAATGAAGATAGGAAAGTTTAGAATATGATTATACCTATTTCAAAGCCCAATGGTTGCTGGAGATGGCCGGAAAATAGCCTTAAAGTTGATTGGTCCAAGTGAAAACTTGAAAACTCGCCGGAAACTGGGCAAACTTTAAACGTTCATAACTTCTTCAATACTCAACAAAATCACGTGATTCAAAAACAAAAACCATACTTCTTGATGAGACGAAGAGAATGGTACATTTTTAGATGGCTAAATCACCGTGGTTTGGCCGGAAAACGGCTCGAAATTGGCTAACTCGAGACCAATACAGTCACTTTCGAGCCATAAAAAAAAGGTACCATTCTCTTCGTCTCATCGAGAAGTATGATTTTTGTTTTTAAATCACTTGAATTCGTTGTGTATTGAAAAAGTTATGAACGTTTAAAGTGTGCTCAGTTTCTGGTGAGTTTTCAAGTTTTCACTCGGACCAGTCAACGTCGAGGCTATTTTCCAGTAATCTTCGCAAACATTGGGCTTTGAAATAGGTATAATCTTATTCTACACTTTTCTATCTTCATTTTGATATATTATGGGTCGAATTTGGTTAATAAACGATTGAGTTACGAAGCTTTGAAAATTGCCCAAACTTCCGACTAAGAGCACTGGGACACTTAACGGAGTTTTTAATGGAATGACCAAAATGATGGATGGTGGACAATCTCAGGGACCACTTTTATCGATTTGGAATCTCAGGGACCAAAGTGATGAGTTATGCAAATTTCAGGAACCATTTTGGAGATTTACCTTTTTTGTTAATTCCTATTATTGTTATGTGAACCATGCTTCGTTGCTGAAATAAAAGTAACAAGTACTGCTAAAACTCAATCACAAATGGACAAATATCTAGTGGCGAAGCCAAAAACTCATTCTAGGAGGGGCCTTTTTATTCCATATGAAATAAATTAGATAAAATATGGCAAATATAATCAATTGGGGAAAAGCTAACGTGTTTTCTTTATTCCTGGCAATGAAAATTTTAATCAAATACGATGATAAAACTTTAAAAAGTGTTTGAAAAAGTTAGTATTGAGATGATTATATAATAAGAACATAACTTATTTACGAATTTTAATAAAAAAAGAAAAGAAAAAAAAGATTAACACGTTAAATTCAATCATAAATTTAAAGGCTTAACTTAAAATTGCTGGAACTCTCAAACTCAAATTGCCAATAGGCCACATGCTTATTGCTGTTATACCTTACAGACAATGTTATAAATACAATTCAGGATGGGCCTGCACCCACCCTAGTCTCTATGTGGTTCCGTCCTATAATAGATTTCAATTTCAATTATTCAGATACATGTCTATTTGTAATTGATTTTTCAATTGCTTTTCTTTCAGCAGCAAAGTATGGTTATTGTTATGTTTTAAGAAAAACTAATAAAAAATATTTGAAAATTTTAAATTTTAACGATAAGGACAAAATAAAGGGTAAAGTGAATAGTACTAGGATTGATTTTTTAATGTAAAAATATGATTTTTTGTTAAAATAAACAGTATCGGTAACTTTTTGTTAAAGTTCATATGTTTTATTCGTGTGCTTTGCTTTCATGAGACAAATTCAGATTCACTCCCTTACTCTTCAACCCATTCAGGTCCACAAACAAACATCTGGTCTGCAATTCCAGGCCCATGGACCTTGACAACATATATTGGAGACAACGAAGAGAGAGCCCATTTACTTGGACCAGCCCGTTTAAACAGAGTTATCCAATTGAAAGTGACAACCCAGTAAAATACGATTCATTGTTGTTCCAAGAAATTTGGCACATGATTTTTTACCCAGCTACTGCTATGCTATTGACTACAGTCCAAGAAATGCTGACTCATGTACGCCTTCGTTGTAATCCAAAGCACTTGTAGAGCGATCCAACCTAGGGAATGTTAGGTTTAACATAAAAACTTGGATGTGATTCAATATCGGCGGTCGGCTCAGGTCTTTCAATATAGATAAACATAGTGACACGTTATAAATTATTAACATGTCACTTATATTATTGACGCTATCGATATTTCAGTTGCATGATTAAACCCAAAGTTATTCTCTTGATTTACATGTTTGAGTTTTCTTTGTTTCAAGTTATGCTCTTTCAATTCACCCAAAAATAAAAGTTACTCTTATTCTATTGTTTATTGCTAGTTGTTTACCTAATGAATCTATTTTTTCAAAGATGCGTAGAAGGAAACCACAAATCACTTATTCCAAATTTTTTCACGCAAGACATTGCAATAGTAAAAAATCAGTTTCAAAGTGAAGTCCGTAAAAGATTTGCAGCTCAAGTGAATACGAGATAATAAAGGCCAAACAGCTCCTTATAACACTCATAGCCGTTAAAGTTAAACAAAGCTAAACAAAAAAGACAGGGGAGAACACAAAAAAAAAACAAGAAAACTCAATGGAAAACGACCAATTCCAACTCCTCCAAAATCAAAGTTCAACAGCCCATCACGGCACCCCACGTGGCACACAACTGGCCTTCACCAACCCCCTCCCTCCCCCCCCCCCTTCTCTCTCTCTCTGGTTGGCTTCTGCATACCAAAGAATGAACACTGCAGTTTTTGAGAAAATGGATTACTTTTCTCCCGTTTCCCGTTGATCTCCAAATCTGACAATTCCCCAGATTTCCCCACTGCCCAATAAAAATTCCCAGAAAGGGGAAACAGTCGGTTATTACAGTTATTCACGAAGCACATAGCTCATCAGGATTTGCTGCCGAGTTTTGTGTCTCTACAAAATGCCATCGCAGCAGATTCTGCCCATAACATATCACCCCCCTTCAGAGAAATCGCTACGCAAAGAAGCAGAGGACGACCCGACAACCGGGCTTCTCTTGTACTCGAATTTCGAGGATGAAGAAAAGAACACGCCTCTCAAGCCCCTTCTCCCCAGGGTCTCCAGCTACACAACCACCAGCGCTGCCGCTGCCAACAACCACCAGCAACGGCGGCGCCGGACCGCCAGCGACAGCTCCCTTTCTTCCCACTCCGATGAGGGTAGCCGCCACTCCTTGGCCGGCGATGTGGAGCACGCTGCTGCCGAGACGTTCTTGGTGACCCGGTTGAGTTTGAAGCTGTTAAAATATCTTGGGTACTCAAAATTTCTCATCTTTTTTGTGTTTGGATTTGATGATTTAACTGTTTTTTAGATGTTTTTGAATAACCATTTTGTCATTTGGATTGGAACTTGAAGGTCTTAAATTTTGGTCTGAAATGAGTTAGAGCTGTAAAAATTGTATCTTTTGAAGTGACCTGTAGGAAAATTACTATAGTGGCTGAATCTCCTTTGAAATTGGATTAAATGTTGGGTTGAGATGAAGATCTTCAGAAAATAAATTTTTAATTAAGGAATAGATTTTGGTGGAAATTTAGATGAAATTATTGATTGGAAATTTGGAAGAAATCAGATATAGTCTTTTTACGTTCATGTAACTAGGGAAACTCGAGCGTCAAGCGATTATGCTCACATAAGAACCAACACCATCCTAAACATTTCACATTAGAAAGAGAGAAGATTTGGCTTCAGAAGTCCCTTCTGTTGTGTGTTCTGTAAAAAGAAAGACGATTTGTTGTGTTACACGGTATTTGGAATTTCAACTATATGTATCTTGTACTGTTTCTTCGAGATTCTTTATATAACTTATCCGTGTGGTTAGATGCTTCCTGATCGTATATTTTTATTCAGGGTAGGCTACAGATGGATTACAAGATTTCTCGCCCTTGGTTGCTATTCGTTTTTACTTATGCCAGGTTTTATTCAAGGTTTGTTACTTTCGTACATTTATGCTTGACCTCTTGCATACCTTTTAGACATTATACATGCTTTTTTGGTCCATTTCAGACATTAAATTTGTAGGCATTATCATGACCATGACATAGAGGACTCGTAATCCAGGGGAGCATGACTTAATCCACCTTTCTTTTTGTAGTTGGCTATTATTATTTCTTCTCCCGTCAGGTTCGCAGAGGTATAGTTTATGGTGATCAACCAAGAAATAGGTAGGATACGAATATATGTTTTTTATGTATTTAGGACAATATTCATTTGTGTTGCAGAATTAATACCTGAAGTTTTGTTCTGCAGGCTAGATCTGTATCTACCCAAAAATAGCGATGGGCCAAAGCCAGTCATTGCATTTGTAACTGGTGGAGCCTGGATTATTGGGTGAGTGATGTTGCTCCTTGGCAGTTTAGTTTTTAATAATTCCATGAAAAGTCTAAGCTAGCAGTAGCTTACATTTCTGTTGTTTTCGGAATGTTAATCTTAAGCAGTGTGGCTGAGAGGTAACTTTTCTGGGTACTGTTATTCCTTATAACTGAATTGTAGATTCAGTGTCATAGTTTTGGTTCGTTTGTTCAAATATGATCTTAGTTGCCTTGTTCTCACAACAGATTCCTGCTTATCTATTCTTAACATGTTTTTCGGTAATGCAGTTACAAAGCATGGGGTTCTCTTTTAGGACAGCAGTTATCAGAAAGAGACATCATAGTGGCATGCATAGATTACAGGTGAATATTTAAACTTCAAGCAAGCACACATACTACAAATAACTCATGTCGGGTGTCCGAATGAAACTCTGTTCTGCTGAAGTTCCTTACTAGATGCACGGAGATTTGAGTCTTTCTTAAAAGGTTAATTGATTTGACATCTTCATGCAGAAATTTTCCTCAGGGTACTATCAGTGATATGGTAAAGGATGCTTCTCAAGGCATCTCATTTGTGTGCAATCATATTGCTGATTATGGAGGCGACCCAAATAGGTAATAAAATCTTTTCTATTGTTTGTATAATTTTTTCCGTTGTGGAGGCAATCCTAGTGGCTAAAAGTTGGTGTTTTTCCTGCTATGTTTGTGCAGGGTTTATGTAATGGGACAATCGGCTGGTGCACATATTGGTGCCTGCACCCTCGTTGACCAGGCAATTAAGGAGGCCGGCGAAGGAGAGAGCTCTTCTTGGAGTCTCTCCCAGATAAAGGCTTACTTTGGTTTGTCTGGAGGGTAATGACAGTTTAAGATTATTATGACTATTTCTTTGTTCTTTCATCTAATTCGAATGTAAGAGTTCTGCAAGGAATCATACTTATTTCTTTATTCAATCTTGTGTTTCTGATTTCACCTTCTGCACTTTTTCATGTATTTTTGTTAGTTATGAGTTTTCTGATTCCGAACAGGTACAATTTGCTTAACTTGGTGGATCACTTCCACCGCCGAGGTCTGTATCGTTCAATCTTTTTAGGGTACGGACTTCTTGGTCTCCTAAAATGTTAATCATACATATGCTCTTATACTCTCATAGTTTTAGTTCGAACTGCATTTAATTTTTATGACTTCAAAACCTCTCGCAGCATAATGGAAGGAGAACAATCTTTGCAACGTTTTTCTCCAGAACTCATGATTCAGGACCAGAATGTTAGAAATGCTGCTTCTCTCCTACCTCCTATTATTTTGTTTCATGGTACTGCAGATTACTCCATACCATCAGATGCCAGGTATACGTTTCCCCTGAAATGAATGATTTGATTGCTTGCAGTTATTTCTTAATCGAAATAGTGCAAATCTATAGTTGGCTCTTCAGAAATAAACTCTTATAGTTCAGTATCTAAGTTTCGTATCGCTTAATATCACTATATTAGAGTGGAAAATATACTATTCAGAAATATGGTTCTATTGCCACAGGCTTTGACAAACATGTTCTCTGTGCAGCAAGAATTTTGCAGAAACTCTTCAGAGACTTGGAGTGACAGCTGAGTCGATTCTTTATGAAGGGAAGACTCATACGGATTTGTTTCTTCAGGTAAGGGAGCACCAAAGATGGTTCATTTTTAATTCTCATGCCAGTTTTTCATTTTCCTGTTCGATAAGCCCCCTCATGAGGAAAGAAAGAAACAATTTAAAAAAGAAGAGTTTCATATGTTAAATTTAGTCGGTGGATGTGTTGTTCAGGATCCAATGCGTGGTGGTAGAGATGATATGTTTGAAGATTTAGTAGCTATCATTCATGAAGGTGATTTAGAGGCTCTCGCCAAAGATGCTGTGGCTCCGCCAAGAAGGCGCCTTGTGCCTGAGTGCATGTTGAAGTTGGCTCACCGTGTCAGCCCGTTCTAGCCAATTTTTGTTAATCATTTATCAACCCTAAAACCTAGTTTCTTGGTGATTGATTGTATTCATTTTGTACATATCATTAATGACACGTGAAGTTTTTACCCCTTATTTTTTGTCCAACCTTCAGAATTATCCAATTCTCGTCTCAATATCAAAGATTTTCTCTCCCTTATTCTTGTTCATACCAAACTATCAGTTAGCAATTTATATTTTGTAATTTGAAGTGAAATAGTTTTTAAACTGCACGTAATTAGCTCATTTACTTGAACATGTTCGCTAAAATTTTGTAATCTCGGACCATGCCTTCGTTGCGGTTTATTTGAGTTTGATTCTAGACAAAACCAGCTCCATAGCTAAACATGAGTTGTTATTTCATTGGGATGGTTTACGTGGATTACATCAAAGTTACCATGCTTACACACCTTGCTGATTACAAAATCCAAAAAGACAAAATATTACGAGAAAACGAAATGAAATCGTTGCTTTTGCTGCATGCTTCATCAGCAATTTGGTCAGTTCTTTGCTGCAGATTTGCCACCTTTACCCTGGTCAATTATCACCGGTTTGTTAGTGAAACCAAATTCACATGACGCAAGAAGATGACGGAAATGCAAAAACGAAGCCATGGTGTTTGTGAAAGTAACTGATAGTATATATATATTTATACCTTCTTCTTGGGTGCCGGAGACTTTGGTGCGGCTGCAGCCTTCTTTGGGGTGGCTTTAGATGCCGGAGCTTTGGCATCACCAGCCTTGGCAACGGCAGGTTCTTTCTTGGCCTGCCCAAACAGCTGAGTGCCGACTTGCCTTTCCGCCTTCATTGATGCCATACTTCTCTAAATTAACTCTCTTTTCGCAACTATACGAAAAATTTAACGTGTGTGTTGTGAATATTGGCTGCTTCTGAAACTACCCTTTTTATAAGTGCAGGGCACAAGTGTAGAAATGGAATTAGAATAACAAGTTATGATAAAAGGTGTTTGGAAGAGAATGGAATAACCAGTATTGGCAAAGAAAGCATAGCTGCACTTAAAAGGCTGTTGGCATCAGATGCTTTTGCTTGCTTACTGATATATACTGAAATTATGAGAGATCGAATTTCACCAAATGGGTTGTGAATGACGTTTTAACATGCGATCAAGAACTAATTATATGATTCTTTTCATAAATAATTGTGTGATTCTTGGACTTTTTGGGTCTTCTGGAATTTCATTATGTAATAGCAAGTGCATATAGTAGTGAAATTACACTAATCAAGAAAAACTATTATGATCCATTGCTCCTAATCCGATCAACGAAACTTCTGTAAAATTAAGTAATATCCCAATATTTACATAACTAAATGTTGAAGACTAGTCTTTGGGGCTCAAAAATCACATCCATTGGCAAAATTGAAAACCCGCTGAGTGATAGTGTAACATACATTATTCAAGCAATACTCTAATCTAATCTAAACGACGTGGATGAATTCGAAGTTAGGTGCAAAGGGGTTTGAGTTGAATATCAGAGTGCACAACGAATAAGACTACAAATTAATAAGAATATTATTAAACAAACTAGAATGCCGGAACGGCTACAAAACCCTAAGAGACTACATTGTGAATAGCTTGATATCTAATGAATAACAAAGCACTCTATTTATAATAAACTAACCCTAAACCCTAATGCTAACGGGTTAAGCCCAGAAAACAAAACATTAAAGTAAACCTAAATACTAATATTTTCCAACACCCCCGTCAAACTCATGGCGGTATACGACATGGGTTTGCAAACAAGCAGATGCAGACTGGCTCCGCCGCAACGCGGACAGACAGACAGACAGGCAGGCTCCGCAATGCGGACAGACAGACAGGCAGGCTCCGCAACGCAGACAGACAGACAGGCAGGTATGCAAACTTGACTTGACTTGACTTGCGAACTGGTGAACTTGCGAACTTGACTTGACTAGCAAACTTGACTTGATTCTTGCTGGCAAACTGATTGTGGTTCCGACTGACTAGAGTTGAGAGTATGGAAAGAACCCGTCACTAAACGGACGAGATTTTCATATCTCAATTGTAGCAACAAACGAACAACGCCACCAACTTGTGTGGGCCTTCAAACAAACTTAACCATAACTTTTTTTTTTCTCTGCCCGTGTGGGCCTAAACCAACAGCAATTTTTTTTTCTTTCTCCTGGGACCTTTCGAATGCTTTCCTCTCCAACAAACAATATAACTTTTTCTTGTATTGGACAACGGTTTTTCTTTTTCTTTCTTTTCCTTTTTTTTCATTTTTTCTTCTTCTATTTTTCGACTTCTGTTTCCTTATTCTCTTCTTCTATCTGGGCAGTGTTCTCCAGAGAAAACAAATCCAAGTGCAGTATGGGATCTCAATTCTGGGATTCTTGACGCGATGGGAAAGTAGAGGCGATGAAGTGCGGATCAAAGCGGCGGCGAGGATGCGGGTACGGTGCGAAGGCAGCGCAGTCAGTGGTGGGTAGACGATTTCATGGGTCTGGTGCGGAGGTGCAAGTGGTGCGGGTCCGATCAAAGGGTGCGGATGCAGTGCAGGAAACTGTGTGGTGATGCGGCTGGTGTTGGATACGAACAACAGATGTGCTGGGTTTCTAGTTGCAGACCTGGTACGAAGGCTGATGGCTGGGTGACGATGCAGCGGAAGTGGGGCAGATTCTGGTGGGTCGTCCGAGCAAACATAATCAAATTTTTTTTCTTTTCAAAACAAACACTGAAAACTATTATCAAACAAACAACATGGATACCTATCAAGAAGAATAGATTAAATCCCGAAAGATCAAACCTGCTCTGATACCAAGTTGAATATCAGAGTGCACAACGAATAAGACTACAAATTAATAAGAATATTATTAAACAAACTAGAATGCCGGAACGGCTACAAAACCCTAAGAGACTACATTGTGAATAGCTTGATATCTAATGAATAACAAAACACTCTATTTATAATAAACTAACCCTAAACCCTAATGCTAACGGGCTAAGCCCAGAAAACAAAACATTAAAGTAAACCTAAATACTAATATTTTCCAACAGTTTGACTGCTCTATCTTGTCAAATTGGCTATGCACAGGCCCTCGCAGAGTGATTTAAATTATTAATTTATGTATGGTGACAGTATATACAACATTCTCTAAGGCAAGGGCTGAGATGAATGCTCATTTCCATACATTCTTAGTTTCATTTTTTATGAGAAAAAGGAGATCCTTTTGTATGAGTTGTAGAAATGGAGATCGTTAAGTATTTCTTCATTGTCTTAACTGGCTAGGAATGAAGAAGGTCCTTGTTATTCTTCTTCCCTATTTTGATTTTTGCATTGACATTGTAACTTATTGGGTTGCATATATCTGATTTTATCGAATAACAGGCCGGTATATGCAGAGGATCTTTAGCCAACTAGAAAACAGAAGAAAAAAGCTTGGTGCATGTTTTTCATGACAGCTTATACAGCACTGCAGAGTCTCTCATATTTCCCGGTCATACGATGCATCAAAGTTCGCAAATTTAGTGCCGCTTAATCTCATAAATCTGCTTTCTATTTCACCTTTTATCAATTTCTCTTTAGCATATTATTTTATGTTTTACTTTCAACATGCGTTCAATTCTGGCATTTATCTGTTGGACTAGTCATCCTTTAATTTTTAGCACAAAATCAAACCCCTAATTTGTACCAAGAAACTTCAGTTCTATTGAATTTTGATATCTTTAATTTCTTGTGATCCTTGTGATCAAAGTTGTTCAGTTCACTTAAAACATTGTCTAATATTAGAAAGTAAATGGCCGATTCCTTTTGGAGGTCTTCGGATACTGAAAACATACAGAATCTGCCCATTTTTTAAAAATATTTTTTAAATGGTTTAACACTTGAACTTTCTCAGTATCTTCATATTCTGGTTCATATTTATGAACACCCTTCTGAATGCTTTATGTTTGCAAATTAATATTTCATGTAGTTTAAGCAAATACCAAGCAAATGTTCCTCTAAAATAAAGTTCTCTTTTATTTATCAGGCCAAGCCTAAAAGGAGAGACATATTATTATCAGAATATGGAGGACCACAGTGATTCAGCATCTTCATGCACTCCTCGCCTCACACCGTTTCTTTCATCTAATTCTTGGCTGCAGGCTTGCTTCCTGTTGTCTGATAAAACCGTCGCAAAACAAAATTTAAGGTGTTAATAAGCACATGTTTGGTGCCCAATAAATATGAAAATATATGGATCGATGTATTTAGGCACTTACCCTCTTCTTAAGCTCCCTAGGCTTTGTCTCAGCCTTCTTAGGGTCGGGTTTGGAGGCTGGAGCTTTGGGTGTGGTACAACAAGCTTTTGGAGCAGGCTCTTTCTTGGCCTGCCCGGCAGTGGGTTGAGTGGAAGTAGGTTTCTCTTGCTTGAGTGATGCCATTTCGGTTTTGTTAATCTTACACGCTAAAGTGTTTGCTTCCTGTTGTCTGGCCTCAATTGTTACCTCTACTAGAGTTCAACCATTTTATAGTCGAAGTTCATAATTGTGACACGGAATTAGAATCCCTACTTTCAGCAGATATGAGGTGAATAAGATGTGATTGCACGAGCAAAGGGGGATAAAATGGACTGGTGGCCTGTTGGGAGATGGTGCTGAATCGGATGCTTAATCGAGACATATGTAAATTGACATCATTTGATGCGTATTCGAGTGCGTGTATTGGTAGATAGTTGATTTTGATATGCTTAATTAAACCTACAGAGAAGTACAAACACTTCGTATAAAGAAATTATGTACATTTTCAAATTATGTAGACATCAATCCTATTAGAAATGTATTTTTCATTTAATCAAAAAACAATAAGATTACATTTGAGTATATATACATGTAAATCAAGTCTAACAAACTGTCCTAACTAAGTCCAACAATGACTAACTGTCCTAACAAACCTGTAACAATTACTTAGTCTCTAAGTTTTATCTAATGAGGAGATATTTACACTTTCATCCTTAATAGCCCCCCTCAAACTAAACGGAGGAACCCAAAGAGAGAGTTTGTGTCGGGAAAGGTAAATCTGGACTTGGACAGAGACTTGGTAAAAATATCTGCAACTTGATCTTGTGCACACACAAATTGGACAACAAGTTGCTTGGCTAACACTTTCTCCCTTATGTAGTGATAATCTATTTCAACATGCTTCGTGCGAGCATGAAAAATAGGATTCTTCACCAGAGAAATGGCAGAGATATTATCACACCACAACTGAGGTGAACAAGGAGGAGAATAGCCAATATCAACTAAAAGCTTGGAGATCCATGACAACTCTGCGGCATTATTAGCAAGAGACCTGTATTCGGCTTCAGTGGAAGATCGTGCTACTGTTGGTTGCTTTTTAGCACTCCAACTAATAATAGAACTGCCAAGGAAAACACAGAAACCACCAGTGGATCGCCTGTCTAAAGAACATCTTGCCCAGTCAGCATCAGAGAATGCTTGAAGTGCCAAAGGAACAGGGCATTTAGAGAACCATAAACCCATATCAATAGAGCCTTTTAAGTACCGAAGGATTCTTTTAACAACTTGAAAGTGAGAGACTCAGGGACTATGCATGTACTGACAAACAAGATTAACAGCAAAACTCAAATCAGGTCGAGTCCAGGTGAGATATTGTAAGGCTCTACCAAGGACCTGTATTCAGTAACATTGTCAAGAAGTGGAGACTCATGATCAAGCTTTTCTGTATTGAGAGGTGTGGAACATGGTTTTGCTCCATCCATGTGAGACTGTTGCAAAAGATCAAGAATGTATTTGGTCTGATTAATAAAGATTCCAGATGATGATCACTTGACCTCAATGCCGAGGAAATAATGTAAAGAGCCAAGATCTTTAACAGGGAACAAACTACTCAATTGTGTAATCACCTTTTGACATTCTACAGAAAAGGGTCCAGTGACTAAAATGTCATCCACATAAACCAGTATGAATACCAACTGCGGATCCCTTTTGATAAACAGGGAATGGTCATTTTGGGAGCGAATAAACCCCAAAGAAATCAGAGCACCATTCAATTTTTCATACCAAGCTCGAGGAGCTTGTTTCAAACCATAGAGAGACCTGTGAAGATGACAAACATGATTTGGCTTGGTGGAATCCTCAAAACCAGAAGGTTGTTGCATAAACACGTATTATGTGAGTGTACCATGCAAAAAGGCATTGCTAACATCAAGTTGGTTAAGAAACCAATCAAATTGACAAGCAAGAGTGAGAAGTATTCGAATGGTAACTGGTTTTGCCACTGGACTAAAAGTCTCAGAATAGTCCAAGCCCTTTTGTTGATTGAAACCTTTAGCAACTAATCAGGCCTTGTATCTGTCAATAGACCCATCTGGCTTTTTTTTGATTTGGAATACCCACTTGTAGCCGACAATATTATGAGAGGATGTAAAGGGAACTAAAGACCATGTACCTGTACTGAGAAGAGCATTATATTCCTCCTGCATTGCTTGGCGCCAGTGAAGATGTTTTGATGCTTGCAGATAGGTGTTATGAGTATAATATGAAGCAATATGAGGTGAAAGTGGATGCTTTATGGCTGTGAAAGCCTTGGGTTTAAATATCCCAGACTTTGATCTTGTCTGCATTGGGTGATGATTAGAGGAAGGTAAAAGATATGGTAAGGTTGGATTAGAGGGTGATGAAGCCTGTAATTCTGTGGAGAGGGAAGTAGGTTGCGGAGAACTAGATAAGGCAAAGGTTGTAGGTGGGGGTGATGGTAGGTGAGGTTGAGGTTGTAGGTTGGAAGTGGGAGTGGTAAATGTGAGAGATGATGGGAATTGCTGAAGAGGAGAATTGAGAGATGTGGAAGAAACAGGGACTGAAAAATTATGAAAAGGAAAACTTGTTTCATAAAAAAGAACATGCCGGTAGGTCTGGCAAACGGGTCGTGTCAGTCGTGTTCGTGTCGTTTTCGTGTAACACCTGTTATCTTAACGGGTCGTGTCGTGTCACACCCGTTATCTTAACGGGTCCTTAACAGGTCGTGTCACTTTACCCAACGGGTAAAGTGACCCGACCCGTTATGACCCGTTAAGAAAAATATATTTTTTTTCTTAAATTTGCACATACCACACATTGCCACATAAATATTACTTCAAAACATTAAAATACATTTGTCGTTTAAGTACTACATCTACACTTAAAAATAAGAGCCTAATAAAAAAATAATACAAACACTACTAATCTATTACAAACTTTAAATGTGCAAGGATATGCAAAATGAAACAGTTTTTGTTTTCAAGGTTGTGAAATCTTTCTCAAAAGTTTAAACCTCAATTTACAAAATCCTCGATTTACATCGATCATCATGAAATTGCATTGGAACTTTGGCTTGATCTATTGCCTTCAAGAGTTATATTGATGATGTTTTCAGTAAGGTTTTCCACGTCATAACTCTCTTCTGCATAAACTAAACATAGAAAAACCAAACATTAAAAATCATTCAAATTATGAGAAGTTTACCAAAATAATTATGAAAAAAAATAAAACAATATACCATACTTTTATTAAGTATAAACATAAGATTTTGTGGTATCCACTAGTGTAAATATTTTAAATTGAAGATCGAATTCAATCATTGTATTCATATAAGGTCAAGGAGTGTAGTTGTAAAAAAATCATCAAAATTGGAGTTAAATTAACCGTCAAAACGTGATTTTTCGTTTATAATCGTCGAAAAGTTTTGTCCCGTTACTTGCTCTCTGAATGTTTATTTTTTGCAATTTTTGGCGTATGCGATCTCGAAATATATACAAACATGTTTGACGGTTGGATCATTGAAACTAGTTTCGTAGAATGAGTATCCCATCAAAACAATAGATTCACTAATACTTAAGAGTTTATTCATACTTTTATTAAGTATAACATAAGATTTTGTGGTATCCACTAGTGTAAATATTTTAAATTGAAGATCGAATTCAATCATTGTATTCATTTAGGGTCAAGGAGTGTAGTTGTAAAAAATCATCAAAATCAGAATTAAAATGACCGTTAAATCGTGATTTTTCGTTTATAACCGTCAAAAACTTTTGTCCTGTTACTTGATCTCTGAATGTTTGTTTTTTTCACTTTTTGGTGTATGCGATCTCGAAGTATATATAAACATGTTTGACGGTTGGATCATTGAAACTAGTTTCATAGAATGAGTATCCCATCAAAACAATAGATTCACTAATACTTAATAGTTTATTCATACTTTTATTAAGTATAATATAAGATTTTGTGGTATCCACTAGTGTAAATATTTTAAATTGAAGATCGAATTCAATCGTTGTATTCATATAGGATCAAGGAGTGTGGTTGTAAAAAATCATCAAAATCGGAGTTAAAATGACTGTTAAATCGTGATTTTTCGTTTATAACCGTCGAAAACTTTTGTCCCGTTACTTGATCTCTGAATGTTTGTTTTTTGTAATTTTTGACGTATGCGATCTCGAAGTATATACAAACATGTTTGACGGTTGGATCTTTGAAACTAGTTTCGTAGAATGAGTATCCCATCAAAACAATATATTCACTAATACTTAATAGTTTATTCATACTTTTATTAAGTATAAGATTTTGTGGTATCCACTAGTGTAAATATTTTAAATTGAAGATCGAATTCAATCATTGTATTCATATAAGGTCAATGAGTGTAGCTGCAAAAAATCATCAAAATTAGAGTTAAAATGACCGTTAAATCGTGATTTTTCTTTTTATAACCGTCGAAAAGTTTTGTCCCATTAATTGATCTCTGAATGTTTTTTTTTTGTAATTTTTGACGTATGCGATCTCGAAGTATATACAAACATGTTTGACGGTTGGATCTTTGAAACTAGTTTCGTAGAATGAGTATCCCATCAAAACAATAGATTCACTAATACTTAATAGTTTATTCATACTTTATTAAGTATAACATAAGATTTTGTGGTATCCACTAGTGTAAATATTTTAATTTGAAGATCGAATTCAATCATTGTATTCATATAAGGTCAATGAGTGTAGTTGTAAAAAATCATCAAAATTGGAGTTAAATTAACCGTTAAATCGTGATTTTTCGTTTATAACCGTCGAAAAGTTTTGTCCCGTTACTTGCTCTCTGAATGTTTGTTTTTTGCAATTTTGGCGTATGCGATCTCGAAGTATATATAAACATGTTTGACGGTTAGATCATTGAAACTAGTTTCGTAGAATGAGTATCCCATCAAAACAATAGATTCACTAATACTTAATAGTTTATTCATACTTTTATTAAGTACTAGTGTAAATATTTTAAATTGAAGATCGAATTCAATCATTGTATTCATATAAGGTCAAGGAGTGTAGCTGCAAAAAATCATCAAAATCAGAGTTAAAATGACCGTTAAATCGTGATTTTTCTTTTTATAACCGTCGAAAAGTTTTGTCCCGTTAATTGATCTCTGAATATTTGTTTTTTTGTAATTTTTGACGTATGCGATCTCGAAGTATATACAAACATGTTTGACGGTTGGATCTTTGAAACTAGTTTCGTAGAATGAGTATCCCATCAAA